CGATCGCCTCGCGCTCGCAGGCCACGAGCGACTCCAGGTGCCGCACGCGCGGCGGCGGCGGCGGCGGCCGCCGCTCGTCGTCGGACGACGCGAGGTCCTCGGACCACGCGCGCGACGGCGCGCGGCGCCGCGGGTCCTCGCCGTCCGCCGCGGCGGCGTCCGCGGCGACGTCCGAGGCGGCGTCCGCGGAGAGGTCCTCGGACCACGCCCGCGACGCGCGCGGCGGCGACGAGTTCCACGCCTCTTCTCGGCTCCGCGGCGGCGGCGCGGCGGCCATGTTTTGTGGCTCTGTGCCCGACGGCGCGGGTGCGCCTCGCCGCGCCGCCGGACCACGACACGAGGCGACCAGGACGCGGCCGCGCCGCGCGACGGGACCACGAAGGATGCGACCAAGGACACGGCAGCCCGGTGCAACAAATTTGTACGGCGTTCACTTCGATGCAAGGGCTATGCAAGGTGCCGTGCCTCGATTGAGTGCCTCTTGCGATGGTTTGAGTCGCCTCGACCTCGCCGCTCGCACACCCACGCTCTCCCCGCCGTGCATCGCGCTCGACCATGAATGACGCGCCGGAGACGTCGACGCCCGACGCGCCGTCGGAGGTCGAGAAGCTGCGGAGCCGCGTGGCGGAGCTCGAGCTGCGCCTCGCGCCGGGTGCCGCGGCGCCCGTCGACGCCCTGGGCGGGGCCGCCTGGACGTCGCTGGTCATCTTCGGCGCCGACGGCAACCTGGCGACGAAGAAGACCTACCCGACGCTCTTCGCGCTCTGGCGCAAGCGGCTGCTGCCGCCGGACGTCGTTATTTTAGGCTACGCGCGCGCGGACCTGACCGTCGACGACTTCCGGAAGCGCGTCTACCGGGCCATCTACGACAGCGCCCACGCGCAGCGCGAGCGCGCGTCCTTCCTCGAGCGCTGCGCCTACGTGGCCGGCCAGTTCGACGACGCGGCCCACGTCCGCGGCCGCCTGCGGCCGGAGCTCGAACGGTTGGAAGCCGCGCAGGCCGCGCCGGGCGCGCGGGGCCGCGGCGGCGCCGCCGCCCGCGTGCGCGTCTACTACATGGCCGTGCCGCCCTTCCTCTACGGGCCCATCTGCCGGTCGCTCCGCGGCGGCGGGCTCCGGGGCGGCGGCACCGCGGACCGCTTCGTCTTAGAAAAGCCCTTCGGCCGCGACGCCGCGTCCTGCCGGGCGCTCTGCGCGGAGCTCGGCGCGCTCCTCCGCGAGGACGAGGCCTACCGCATCGACCACTACCTGGGCAAGGAGCTCGTCATGAACGTGCTCGTGCTGAGATTCGCGAACGTCTGCTTCGAGGGCATCTGGGACCGGACCAAGGTCGCGCGCGTCGACATCTGCTGCTTCGAGACCATCTCGACGCTCGGCCGCGGCGGCTACTTCGACGCCTACGGCATCATCCGCGACGTGCTCCAGAACCACCTCGCGCAGATCCTCGCGCTCGTCGGGGCAGGAAAAGAGAGCGAAATTCCCAAAGGCTCCTATCTCGGCCGTTTTCCACTCGTTTCGGCTGACTTTTGGACGAGCGATCATCTCTCGGAGCGCTCTCGAAGCGTGGATGCTTTTTCCGGAACGCGCGCGCGCGGAACACTCATGTTGAAGAGAACTTGAATCACTCTCGCGCGCCCAGGCGCTCGTCGGCATGGAGCAGCCGCTGTCCTTC